TAATACAATACTGGATGGACCCAGAGACCGTAACGCTCAACTGTTTCAACTGTTATACAAGTGAATTCCACCAGCCGTCCTATTTCACGGTTCGGCGGATATATGTGCTGGGTAGTATGATTTTGTCCGACATGTCAAACAGTACAAGGTGGTACATTTGTTTAAAAAGCCATTAACACACAGGGTAAAAAGCCGAATAAAAAATGAATTCATTTGGATCTGGTCTGATAACAGATTTGCATTGTGATATCGCCGCAATATATTCCGTTTATGAGGCGGAAAATTCATTAGACAGGATGCAATAATGGAAGGTAGAATAAAAATAAAATCCTAGATTATTTCTACACTAATGTCGCTCTTACACAAGTCAATTTTTTGTTTAAAATTCTAACACCTCTAAAGTCGCATAGAGGAACAAATAATATTGTTATCAGCAGTCGATTCAATTTACTTTTACAATAAAATGGTAAATAAATCCAAAATCGATCGTAAAGAATGTATATTATCAGAGTTCTTCTTGAGTACAGTCGGAAGAATCTCCACTTGGACTCAATCTTCTTCGTTTTAATTTTGAATGTGTCAATTCCCCCTTTTGATTTGTATGGTATGCAATGTTTTTTTTAAATTCCCTATGACGTCTAACATGATTAAACAGATTCAGAAAAATGCTCGTGTAAAGTGAGAAATTGCATCGCTACATCACGTCGGTTATGGTAGCCGGCCAGCCGCTGTATTTCCACCGTTCTTTGAAATCTGTCGAATAAACACCATTGAAATCTTCTTCTGGATTTATTCCCGGTACGTGGATTATTTTTAGACGGCCTGCACATCTAGACGCGCGGATTCACCGTGACGGTCCGCGGCCCGTCACAACAGGACAATAAACGTGGCCTACGGCCTTCTCGATTTACGACTTTATCGGATATTATCTCAGGAAAAATGACTGCGTAATATCTCCAGGATCGGTTTTTTGCAGAAGGAAGAACCGGCTGGCTTTGGTGAACCAAGTCCGCCGAAGCATGCTAAACCACATTTGATCGTGCAGCATCAAACACAGACGAAGGTGAACTGCGTCATACACATACGTGAAAAATAAACAGTCAAATATACCCAATTTCATAAAATAGTTAAAGAAAGACAAACTACAATAACAATTAAACAAATGGAATGATGTTACTGCTAAGGATGCTCAAATGCGACCGAAAGGCCCAAATATGTCGGTGCATAACTATAAAAATTCCAGTGGTTGTCCGTATGTTATGGACTGGAGCCAGTCGGCATTCGTCAGTTTGTGCCTATTTCTTCTAGTCATGTGGATTTTGGACGTATGTACTGGGAGATTTAAAGTTAAGGTCTTCTTATGTGACTAGTCTGTTGCTTGTCATTCTTACTTAGTCCGCCTATCCTCACCTTTTTGGTTATCAGACGCGTTTCTTCATTTTAACGTCTTAGTGATTGATTCGTTTCATGAAAGATTTTACACAAATGATTCGAACTGCTGAAGGTGCACAAATCTGACTGATTATATTGCTATAAAAATGCCAGGTACCACCTTTAGTGTGGCCATTTGTGATCTTCCTGGGAGCATGCTTTTGTCGAGGGTTTGTGGCATAAAGCTTGTCGTTGTTAAGAGTATGAAACTAGTACGCCAGGCCGAAAATATGAAGATAGTTAATCGAAAATGAACAAAAACTACCAAAACTTTGTTCAATTCAGGATTTACAAAATTATAAGACCAATCTTCACCTTTAAACAAAACTAAGCAAAGATGTCCAAAAGAGGGTCGCTTGTATCGATAAAAGGATTGCAATAACACTACTTGAAATAATCAGATGGGATGGAACTCTGAGATTGCAAGGGATTTCTGGGCCGACTTAAAATGAGTGGAATGAGGAAAAGGCAAAATTGTTAGCTCCAGAATCAAGTACTCGAAACCCATGGACAGCAGAATTTTCCGATCTCAGAAAAGAAGATAATGTAAAAAGTAATAAACGGTTGAAATCTACAAAAGCAATAATGAAGGCAAATTAGGTTGTTGTTTACAGTATCGTCCCCTTGTTGGAAGAGACTAAAAACTATTTTGCTCTTGCATAAAACTACATCTCGCTTCGAACTGTTTTATAAATATTTACACGCTATTCTGCCTTTTTTGTTCCACAGAGCACCTTATTTGGGTCCTCTCAGTTTCCATCTGATTCGGGACGATGAAAATTCGAGTTCTGCTATGACTGCCACGGAAAAAAAACTTTGTCAATCCAAAACAAAGTTTCTTCGGATCGATTCGGCCGCAAGGGACTTGATAATTGAATGTGCATATGCTCCCTAGATGTAAAATTGTTTCTTGGACTTAACGTGTTACTTTTAAATATTGCGTTCATTATTAAGAAATATTTGTACTGAGGTATTTGTTTCTAAGTGCATCTTTTACCCCTCATTTATTTTTTTATTAATATAAAAAATCCAAAAGAATATTTACTAAATATCTTATTTTAACAAATCAGATTGTATGACTGACTGTTAATATTTACAGTCATAATAATAAATAATTATAATAATTGTTATAGATTTTTGACTAATAAAATATTTTATTTCAATAAGTTTAATCGTAATGTACATCTGGTTATGCTATTATGTGGGAAATCGGCATGGTTTTCCGAAGTGTGTGACCGAGGCGAAGATTAAGAATGATCATTGAATCTCTCGCGCCCTAGTTCCCGTGTATTACTCAACAAGCAAATTTCACTTCGTTGTTTTGTTATTATGCTGATATACATATTTTTTAATAATGGGAGCCCACGGTAACAGGTTTTAAACGACTAGTGTGTTTGAACTTAAAGGCCATTTTAGAACGAGTAACTTCAGTTGCAGCATAGCTGTTTTTCTTTTTCTTTACTATTAACGAGGTTTAATAATAATTGTGTCGATATTTTTAAAATGAGAGGTCCTTAAGGCATATAAAACGATAGCTGTGAGGTGTTGATCTAAAAAATCAACTTAAGGGGCTCCATCAATAGGTTGTATCATATCAGCATGATAAGCAGTTTTATTAAACCTCGGTTTCATTTAATCTTAGTGTTAAAGAGGCCCGTTTTACTCTCAACTCCATAGACCGACCAACATATTTTCTTAATTTTAGTTATTCTTAGTTATTTGTTTTTACATAATCGACATCTGGTGAAATGTGTAGCTTCAAACTGCCTATCTTCAGCAAGTTTTAGCATGTTATTGCACGTGAATAGTTAATCTAATATCTGTTTAACGGAGGTTAATTTTTTTAACAATCTATTTCAAGATAGTTAAGGATTGGGAAAAAATCTCTTGCTCTTAGATAACAACAATTTGTAGTTTGTTTTCAGAATATGTTTACAAAACGGATAATGGGACTTGACATGCAAAATGATACACAGAACCAAAACTAAAAAGAGACAGACATGTCCAACGGAAAAACATCAGGACATGATATGATATATAGGATCATATATATATATATNATATATATATGTATATATATGATAGGATATGATCGGTGATGAATAACTAAAGATTAAAACTACAAGTTTTTCCACCTTGCAAACCTCACAATTCCTAGCAATATTTGCCTCCCTTGCTTTGTATCATATTTGCATTTTGCTTGCTAAAATTCTGTGTAGTAGGTTGATATCAGTAGCAATGTTGCATGATGATTACTCCTATTCTAATCGGGTTCGGTTATATATAACATATGTTTAGTCCGATGAACCAATCTTCTCGGATAGCCAGGCGGCATTATAGGCAACCTCCTCATTGGTAGTCTGACATTGGGAAAACCAACAAAATCATCCTTGATTGGGTATCCGGGCATACAGGGCAGAGGAGTAACGAGGAAGCCGACAAATTGGCTAAGATCAGCTACCGTCTCTGATTCTATGTTTGGATTCAAATTGCCAAAAAAGTAGATCCATTAGAAGATAGTTTAAAAATAAGTCCTTGCTTCAATGGGGTTGTATCCAAAGACAGAGGAATGCGAAAGAGTTTGTTAAATTACCATCGCAGAAACCGTTGAACTACTAAACCTAGGACGTTTTGGACTGCTCACTGGACATTGCAGACCCTGGAGACTAAAGTATAGGCTCATAGCAGCAGAAAAAGCTTGCAGATGCAACTTATGTTCAAGACGATGAAACATGAACTTTGTTGGTGCGAAGGCCTATGCAGGCAGATATTTCTACTCCTGATAAAGGAAAATCCATCCAAGAAGGATACAAACTGGTGCCCTTGACGAACCTTTTGGTGACGAAACTGGTAAAAAAACTTAAGCTTAACGAAGAAGTGTAGGCAATGCTCCATCATTGCCTACACTTCTTCGTTAAGCTATTATATTATTGTATTAGCCAATAGACCAACATCTTGGTGCCGAAGGCAATAAATACGGCTCCTAGTAATCTCAATTCTAACGTTTGTCCGAGGATCGATGTACTGATGATTCACAAAGAAAATTAAATAAAGTGATAATCAGCCGATGCAGACATTTGTACATCCCTAACTCCCGAATTCTTAAAAATCGTTGGTTGGATTTGGCCGGTCAAACCGAATATGCCAATAATGTATTAGTGTAATGACCAACTTTTTAATGCAAATCAAATATGCTTGTCAAAACCAGTATAATTGCAATACGCTAAAATTATGCTTTAACCCATGTATATATTATCCAATTTGTCATTTAATGATACAGAACGCTGAAGAATCAGCGGATGTTTGTGGTTCATATCAGGATGTAATGGTTAAAACTGATTAGTTGTAAATTACTGCGAAAGAGGCTTTCAAATTTTCTTCTACTAGCTGACCTAGAACTATTTAAATAAAATATTTTCTTAGTGATGTCTATTGAAGGTTATCATTGACCACCATTGATTCATTCTTTTGAGAATATGTATTTAAGAACAGAGAATAACAGAAGATAATTTAGGGATTTGATATGTCAGGATGTATGACTTTAATGATGTGATGTCTTGTGTTTTCAGAAATATGGCAGGGCTCATTATTTAGCCGCGACGAGCCTGTTGTACCTTGTGTGCGGCCTGGTGCGCGGAGTCCTGCTGTACACCCTACTGGAGGAGATCGACATGACTTACGTCTCAACCCTGCTTTCAGCAGTCTCGTCGGCCCTCGCTTACGCCGTCTCTCTGAACGACCTAGTCACCCTAATAAACGAGGTAAGTGGAAAGTAAAATTTCACGCCAGAGGAACCCCGAGTGCCATACCTATCGAAGGCTTGCTTCACATCTGGAAGAGCAGTAGCAATGATGTCTAAAACGCGATGGCACTGTTTAACAGTGGAATGAGAACGTCTGAACCGAAACGGTGATATGGGATAAGGTTATAAGAATGAAGGATGGGGAGAATGTGTTTAAGCAATTTTTCTAATATTTTGCCCAATAAAGGCAAAAGGCTAATCGCACGGTAGGATGCTGGAAGGTTACGTGGTTTTTTAGGTTTTGGAATCATTCGGAAGAGGGAAAATTTTCCAATTTGTTTTAGCTGAAAAATTATTTGTTTATAATACAGCTAAATAAAAATCGATGTTTTAATTTACGAGGTGTTCTACATATTAGAGTAATTATATTCTTCTTGATAAGTTAGTTATCCAATTATAGAATTTAGAAGTTTGTTTCAAATTTAAATGGTTAACTTTAAAGAAAATGAGTGTATTTTGCTCTTACATTATTCTTACAGTCCGAAGTAATTTTTTTTCCCACTAACAGCTGTCCAAACAGGAAGAAAGTAAAATACCCCTCTCTGTGTGATATATTCCCACTATTTGTTATAATAGCCCAAAATAACCGGGATAAAAATAAAAATTGATTTTTATATCCCAGTTTAAATCTCAAAGAAATTAGTAAGAAAATGGCATGAAGATTTTATGGGCTAAATGATACAATGTGAAGGATCGGACTCCAGAGTATCATTGGTCAACTACAATAAACAAACTGTTCTATTTCCGCGTTGCTGTGACAAAATGAACAGAGCTAAGTGGCTTTTTTTGACACTCCATTATTTATAGGTGCTGTGAGAGACAAAGGAGGCTGGCAGTTCAATTGCCGCTAGTTGGCCGCTTTGGCCCTATTAGCCGGCCAATAAAATGACGCAAGCCAATTGACTCCTGGATCATTCATTAACTTCTGAAGCTGTATCCATTCCATCTGGCTATTTCGTTATCGACCCACTGACAATGGGGCCGATCCGTTGATTTCCCTTCAAACGTCAACCCACGAAGACGACTTCTCGTTATAATGATTTCCACAAGCGGTTCAGGATAATCCGGAATTAACGTTGGCCTTGTAACGAATCACGTCGGACCGTTTAAGCCAGTGATAAATGAGAACACTTATTAAAAGTTTACGTCAGTGATAAGAAAAACTTAAAACTTAAATCACATGTGTGAGCAGTCATTCCCTCCAGCTACAGTCCAACTAATTAGGACGTTGCTTTACTAGCTCTGGACTGAAAAAACCTCCTCTTACTTTCTCAGTACACAAATATTTCACTTTAACTACTATTAATTTATTCGAGAAAGTTGGTAAAAGTGGTGCTCGCTCTGCCAAGAGGTTGAAATATTCTATGAACATTTTGTATTTATCAATTAATTAAGGTTTTTAGTTGAGATAAAAAAGTCAGTGTCACGAGCGGGATTCGAACCCACGATTTTCAGCTAGATACGCTGCTGCTCTACCACTTGAGCTATCGTGACCTCAATCCACTCGGACACTAACTCCCCATCTCAACCCACCTTTTGAATTTTCCCTCCTTTTTGCCATTTTTCAGATGTCGTGTAATCTATTTGATTCTCGGCGACAAATGAAATGGCCACGGAGAGCTTTAGTGAAGGTATACTATTAATAATATTAAATTCACTAGTTTTCGTGGTCCGCTTTTGTATTGTATTTTGAAATTATTTCAAATTCAAAACATTCTCCAAAAGGGTTTCAGTTATTTACAATTTAAATCCATATCAAAAACCAGTAAAAAGTTAAACATTTGGTTGAAAAATAATAGCGTTTACTTTGATCATCTGTCTCATCCCCAGTTTTCGGGTTGGACATGAAAATTACAATACCCCTAGGATATAAGCATTTTTTGTTTTCTAGCATCGTGAAAGAAAAGCCTCTGTTCCTTGGTCGAGTTTTCAAGTAACATAACTACTTCATCAGCAATTTCAAACTTTTATTTATAATTTACTATTATATTTAGTGACAGTTAATTAATGATTATTTGGAGATCGTGAGATGTGGTTTTATGTGATGTATGTTTCGAAAAACATTTTCTTTATTGTGCCAACGTTTCGATCTTTCTTTAGATCATTATCAGGGTTCAAAGTGTGTGTTTTCTGTGTCACAGTTTTGTGACGTGTTGCGAATGTGACACATCTACACAGAAAACACACACTTTGAGCCCTGAAAATGATCTAAAGAAAGATCGAAACGTTCGCACAATAAAGAAAATGTTTTTCTAAACATACATCACACAAGACCACATCTCACCATCTCCAAATAATCATAATTTACAATGTTAACAAATATGAATATCTACTTACAATATTGAAATTTATGATTTCAAGCACAATGGAATTGAGTTGATTAGTTAAAGAGATCACCCAACAGTCTTAGAATAAATAATAAATGTAATAAAATTACATAAAAAAAGAAAGAAGTTCTGTTTAAATCTTTATGATAGACCAAATTAATGCTTGAAAAGTTTTCAAGTAGATAGAAGTTTTTTGTCATAAGTTTATCTTTTTTCTCCGGCTTAACCTTTATTAAATTTTTATGTCATGGGGCTTATGCCATTCTCCCATGTAATTTTCAAAAGAGTAGAAGTAGGATTTGGCCAAAAGAAAGATGAGTTCATTAAGTTTTCATCTTTAAGTTTAAAACTAGCAGGAGGATCTTGAATTACAAAAGAAATATCTTTTTTTTTCATCGATTTATCTTTTTCATGGGTTTATCCGTTTCTCAGGTTCGACAGATATTAAATTGGGGTTAATGCAATTCTTCCATGGAATTCTCAATGGAGTCGAAGTAGGACAAAATAAAGATGAGTTAATTAATTTTTCATCTTCAATTTAAAAACTGGCAGGAGGATCTTGAATTTCAAAATTTCCGTGTTTTCACCCCTTTTCTCATGTAACTCAGAAACTACTAAAGTTAGGGTGTGGTTTTGACGAAAAAAAAAAATAAATAAATAAAAATAAAATAATAATAATAATGATACGTTTATTTGATTTCTCCCCTTCGATGTATAAATACATAAATTAAGTGCTTGAAATTCCAAATTAAAGACTTTTAACTAATTTAGTCGTTTAATGCTTAAGAGAAATTTAATTGTTGCATATTCTATCCTTAAATATAATTCCAAAACGAATCGACTACGGTTTGGGGTTTGACAGGGAAGATAACTTCATACAATTTCGTACTCATAATACAAAACCTAATTTAGTAGAGGTTTCAAAATCAAAATGGGATATTTCTCTCTAATTTATTCAATTCATGGAACAGAAATGAAATAGAGGTAATCCATCCTCTAATTCAGATTAATGGTAGGGGGCTCGACAAAATTGGAAGATTAGCTCCTTAACTGTTCACATCAATGGAAAATTTAATGAAGTAGGATTTGCAGAGCAATACAGACAATATTTCAGGGCAGAAATCAAGCAGAGGTATATACAATTCTAACCCCTAATTTAAAGTCGAGTTGAGTTAGAGGCAAAACAGGGGATGAGCCCATTCACTTTCTCACCCCAATTAAAACAATTAAATACAAATTTAAAGTTCGGAAATAAGGGTTTCTCACTAATTTATATATTTCTCATGACAGAAATTAAGCAGATATCCATTTCTCATTCTTAATTGAAAATTCAACTACTTAGCGTTTGGTTTTTGGAAAAGGACAGACTAGTTCATCCACTGTCTCACTCCCACTACTAAAACTAACTGATTAAGTAAAATTCTCACTAGTTTATCTAATTCGCAGAATAGAAATTAAATAGAGCTTATTCAATTCTCAACTCTAATCCTGAAACGAATTGAATTTGGGGTTTGATCAAAAGGAAGAACTTCATACAATTTCTCACCCCATAATATAAAAGTTGAAGAATTAGGCATTGAACGATGAAAATGAAAAGATACACATTAATTTATCTATTGCTGAGAACAGAAATAAAGTAAATATCTATCCAATTCTCACCCCAATTCAGAATCAATCGAGGTGGGGTTTAGGGTTTGGCAAAAGGGAAAATGAGTTTATTCACTTTCTCACACCAATTAAAACTAATTAAGTAGAGATATAAAGATCGAAATGAAGGGTTTCTTAAACCAGAAATGTTTATATATTTATTTTTCAGAAAAGAACTTATATAAACAGAGAATTATTAAAATTTTTATTCAGTTTTTACCTCTAATGTGTGACGAATTCTCAGACTTTCATACAATGGCATAAATTCTAAAATTTAAAGTGCGAGTAGTGTTTTGAAATTATGATTGGCCATTTCTGTCGCCTTCATATCCAAATTAAACTTTAATATTGAGCCCGACCAGGTCAAACTTCATGCAACCCCACTGGCATATTCTCTCCTAGGGGTTCTTTCATTGTTCGTAAATATATAATTTCGTTTTTTCCACCTACAAGAAAATATCCCGTATTTATTTATAAACGCGGGGCCGACGAGTTGCAATTAGCTCTTCCTGCGTTGCAGCAACCATATCCGCGGTTCACGGTCAGACCAGCAACGCCATTTATTTGCCTATTTCAAACCCAACACGTGGCCCTGCCGGCATGCCAACAGCATTTGTTTTTACACGGTGGCGACGTCTGGGTATTTCGTATACTCGTAAGTCGTAACGGAATTTGAGGTCCTTTTGAAATGTAAGGGTTTCCGGAATATTTATATATAAGAGAAACTTTGAACAGATATAAAAAGGAAGTTGCAAAGATTACTGCAAGATACTATAGAAAGAAAGTTCTTAGAACTGATTCTACATGTGCTCAAAATTTTAATTGAGATTTTTGTGCTCTCTCAATTAAACCACTCTCACCAGATAAATTTGGTTTGCTCTAAGATTGCCGATAAGATCTGAAAGAGAGGTACAATGAAGCCCGGTTGACATTAATCAAAAATTAAGGCCAAACATCGGTCTTTCCCCGCATTGTAACCCCTGAC